AGAGAAGGGAAAGGAACAGACTAGTTGGGAATTGCTTTAGGTTTTGCTGAACAGCTCCTTGCTTCTGAAATGTGTTAATACAGGGCATGAATTTAGGTTTGCATAGAAATGAAAGAAGAATCCAAGGTTTTGATTTGCTTAATTGTCTAGCATGAAAGCTAAATATGTATTACATTTGTAAACATTACAAAATTGCCATTTCCAGGGGCCAAGAAGTTAATCTAATTTTGCCCCACATAGTACAGAAGATTCTTAGCGTTGTGGCATCTAATTCTGCTAACTGATGCTGTGCTACAGCTCTTTGTCTAAATAAATGGGATTCAACATTACTTCCAAAATGCCTTAAGAGCCCTTATTTGAGTTTTATGGCTTTAAGGCAGGTTTATATCCCAAGGAAGGTTTAACTCTAACCAGTTTTTAAATGGTCTATTAGCTTTTCATTAGCCTAGTGGCTAAATAATAATTCTTCCAGCAGTTGAATAGCAATTTTATAGTTGTTATCAATGCAGAAATTAATGTGTACAGTAAATATGTTTCCAATTCATTCTTCTACATAGATGAATAGTAACCAAAGTTCAAACAAGATATTTAAATACCTCTGTCATCAAGATAATAGATTAAAAGTAATGAAAAAGCAAACATTTAGAACCATGACACACAAATGCCTTACTTTTATACATAATCTTCATAACAGTTGATATCTATGGAGTCATGGTTGTCCCAAAGGTGCTTTTTCAAGAGGCGACTGGACTTTCTTGTTTTTCTTTGAAGACGTTTTACTTCTCATCCAAAAAGGTTTATCAGTCCTATATGATTCTCCTGGAAATGAATTTAAAACACATTGTGGTTGTTCTGTTCAATTATACTGATAAAATGCATGTTTTCCACTTATCAGTTTTGAAATTGAACAGTGTTGTTCAGAAAAACATGAAAAAGTAGCATGTAGCTGACTTTAGTTTTCCCAACATAACTGTTTCCTAATTTGCCAAATGTGTTTCTTTCAGATAACTCAGAATCATTATTATTTTATTAATTTAAGAAGCCTATATTTAAAGCTAGGAAAAACTTGTTCATCTGGAGATACTCACGTTTTATATTTTCCTTTTCCCCTTAGAAGGCAGCAATATGAATATCTTTCCATTCTTGTTGATATAAAACCATGGGATCTGTGGTGGGTAATATGAAAAGGGGCATTTTATCTGGTCTCTATCCTCAAACTGGCACATGCTAATTTCCTTTGGCTATACTATATAATACATAGTTTACACACCTTTCTCTTTGTATCTTTTATGGCCTGTTCCTGCTGAAGCAATGCAGTGTACATACTTGTTAAAACCGAGATGGTGGGTTTGGTTTGAATTGTTTGAGGGAGGAAAGATATAGAAAATGAAGACGATGACTCCGTGAACTTCTCAACTCTTGAACAGAGTAGCGCCTCCTTAAACACCATAATTGCTTTTTTGGAAAGACTGATCAAGCTTTCTTTTAAATTACATAAATTTCAGGGAGTTAAGTGAAAGATAAATGGCCTCCCCTGAGTTAGCTTTTGTATTTACTTGAATCTCAGATATTACAGAAGCATGGAATTTGTGTGAATTATTACTTAAATGTAAATAATTTTCTAGATAGCCGAAGAAAATAATTTGTTTATAGTGGCAGATCTACCTGTCTCGATAAGTGAATTTATATAAGGGTGTTAAAGTTACAGGTAGAAAGCATGCAATGATAGGGAAAACTCCTTACACGCACACATATATATAAGGAAGTGTGTGCATGTGTGAATATTTGAAAATTTGAAAATTGCAAAATATGTTTTCCAGGAATGCTTCCCATTCATTGTTTCAAAATCCTGATTTTTTTAAAACAACTTTAATAATTTGATCCTGCCTCTTTTTAAGTAATATTACTTGGAAAAAAGTACTGTGATTTTACTGTACTGTAAATTTTAGGATTGTTTAAAATAGGACGTTCTGCATAATGCATGGTTTTGATGACTGGGTGTGCCTCAGCAAAAATATGTTCTCAAGAAAGGAAAGGGGAAATTAATTGTAGAGAAGAAGACCTCTCATCTTCGTATCTATTTTAAATAAACATATTTAAAACGTGCTTAGTAAGTACATCTAGGGTTCTTGGAATTTCTTGGCTCCAAATAGTTTCCGACTTTAAATTTCTGCCAGAATGAACAAATAACTGTTAGACCTAATCAGCTAAAACAAAAGAGATCCAAATGTAAATAGCAATTATTGTTAGATTTCAGTTGGAAAACTGATAGATACAGGACTTTTGAAATTGTATAATAACAAACTGGATTTGAGACTATAATAAAGGATTGAATTTGTTTATCATGGAAAATTTAATCTTCCCTAGCCTTATTAAAGATTATTATCCGACAGTTTGAACACAGTGAAGAAAATCGCATATTAATCTTGTTAAAGGGACAATGGTAGAATATATTTACAGCGCTGTTATAAAAGTAATGCAGTCTTGGAGGCAATAGAGCCATCTACTGGTCTATTTTGTTAAGATGTTAAACTATGGTTTACCAAAGGTATATTGCTTGTAATTCCAACTCAAAGAGATACATTTTTCAATGATATATATACCTTCTTTCCTTGCTTATACATTATCTGAGGAAAAATCTAATAGTGAGGATATTGAAAGGCAAATAAGTAATTGATATACTAACTTGGGTATCAATTTAATTATTCTTAACTGTATGTCAGCTTTGCGGACCAGCCCCAACAAGAACCATACCCAAGAATAATAACTCTATTGTAAGGTTACATTAGCAGAAACTTGTAAGTCTGCAAGTCCCAGCTCACCTTTACAATCCAAGAAACTAGGGAGGATCCTTTTCAAGACATTTGACATGCCCCCATTCCTGCTGTGGACCTAGCTGCATCTTATCTTATGTCAGATAAGGCCTTTCTCCTGTCTCCTAAGATAATTCCCACATACCCTCACACTATAGCTGTTTAGAATTTATTTCTTGTTTTCTGAATAACACATTAACACAAAAAAATTCCTCCTTCATGCAGTGTATTTGTTAATATCTTTAATTGTTCCCAATGATCTGTATTTTTCCTTCAGGTTCTAGCCCAGATTTTCTATTTAGCAGATGTAAGTTGTAATTTAAACAGTTGCATTACAAAATCAACTGTGTCAGGTTGTTTCTCTCCAAAATATTTATTTAGTAGAATAAAATTTCAGCTCTATTTTATCTTCATATGTCCCATTCCTGTTCCTATGAGTGTAGAGTCTCTGTATTTTTACTTGGATTCACATCCAATGAATATAATTGTCAGGTGAGTTTAAAACGTAAGAGCTCTACTGAATCTGATGAAACATTTAATCAGGCTGCCACCCTAGAATAGCTAATTAGAAGCCTTAAGTGGGATGTGCAGCTACTAGTGAGATATTGCTTTTTCAGCTTGGAAGTGATATGTGGTCATTATGTCCAAAAGCCTGTGCTAGATGTTTCCTCCAAGAATTTATTTCCCCCCCCTCAAATCATTTAGCCTACCAGCTATCTCCTATTGTTACAAGTTATATAGGTTCACTATGCAACTATCTGAAGCTCTTCCTCTGCTTTTTCATCAGCCGTGAATCTCCTGCTGTTTGACTTCATTATACTGGGTTTCTCTATAATCAGAAGATCCAGTTTCTTTATACATCATACACTTCATGGTCTTTATTATCTCTTCCAATTTCCTTGTTCAAAACTCAGAGAGCTAAACATTATAACATTTCTTCATGCAGTCATTCTGATTGGCCTTTCTGGCAGGGTTCTACATTATTCTTTTTGAGCTGTGACTAGAATTGTACTTATAATTCTTTTTGAGCTAGTGACTAGAATTGTACTTAAGTATGCACTTATACCTTCACCACCATCAATTGTCTAAATGCATTAGGATATTGACAACCAGGTTTCATACATTGGGGTGGCGGGGTGGCGGGGGTTATGGCTATCTTCAAAACCAAACACCCTAATCTTTTCCCTGATTATTTACAACTGGTTCAGATCTTTCCTTCACTAAAAGAGTTTCATTTCAACACTTTACTTCCATTGAATCCCATTTGTCATTTTGTTTCCTGTTCATTTAATGAAGTGCAAATTTAATGTACCATATGATAAAATTTGCAGCTTTTGGAATAAAAGATAAATAGGCATGTTAAGAAAGGACTTGTAAGCACCATTAAGGAGTCTTGAAAGTTTTAGTTCTATGAAGCTTTGGAGCTTAAGTATTTGAATCGCAATTCTTAACATCCTCTCAAAGTACAGCTCTGAAACTTGTTTGGAGAAATCATGGAACTGAGCTAGTTTAAACTGCTTTATTTGCATAGCTAAACAAGAGAAAAGAATCCGCATTTAGTTCAGGGCTGAGCAATCATTTGGTGATCATGGACTGCATTTCACAATTGTTTTAGGAAGGGTTATGCAAAATCTGGGTAGGTAGCATTTATATGGATGCTTTCACTATGCCTTTTATTATTAATTAGATTTCTATCCTACCTGTTGTACAGGAGCTCAAGATGGCATATATAATACCACTTATTTTTTCCCACAACAATGATCCTGAGGGGAAAGTTGGATTGAGGGAATGTGATTGTCATCCACAGAATCACCAATTGAATGTATATTTCCTGTTGCCAAGTGGTGGTGGTGTGGTATTTGGGGCAATTGTGGGCAGAGAAAAACAGGTGCAAGGACAGTGTGGAGTCATGGAACCTTGATTTCTTCAGTCCTAAGCTAGACACGATACAATTGTTATTCGCTTATGAATGATAAAGCTGCCATTTTAAGTTACATCATGGGGAGGATTGGTATTTAAGAAGTAGCTGCCCTGGGTGTTCACTGCAAAACATGGGGAACATTTCATTTGCAGGGTGTTGAGTGGTAGAAAAGGCTGCTAGGTGGATTTCATTGCTATTAGAAACTGCCTCAACTTAAGGAAATTCAATGCTGATATGTATTATTTTTAATTTTCATATCTTCATAGGGAAAGTGAAGCATGATAAACAGTTAAGACTACTCATCTTGCCTGAACTTGGACCCAAGCTTCATTTTGACCAGTGGGCCACAAACAGATCTTCACTGCTGGATATAACATGGCTACTGATCTATTGCCATTCAGCTACAAAAGAAAACTCAGAACTCTGAATTCCTGCTCTGAATCCCCCTAAGGAGCATGCTGTGGGCTGAGGCAACTCTAGGATGATGAGGACCCAGAATCGCAAAGTACAGCTTTTGCTGATCAACTCCTTAACTTTTGGCTTGGAGGTCTGTCTTGCTGCAGGTGTCACATATGTGCCACCCCTCTTGTTGGAAATAGGAGTGGAAGAGAAGTTTATGACAATGGTTCTGGGTAGGTGGCTTCTTTTCTTCTTTGCTGGGAGATTCTCCATGCTAGATTTGATAGACTTTGAGTTTAGTGTGTGGAAATGTAGGTGTGTATGTTTATCTGTCCATCAATGAAGGCCTTAAGGCTTCAGGCTGCCAACTAAATAATATTCAGGCTGCAAATAATAGTTTTGTGCATGTGACTATGTAAAATGAAGTGGCACTTTATGGATTAGGACATAAAAATAGAATGTAATTGCTATCATATACTAAATAACATGATACTAACCATAATCTACTCCAGATATGGGCAACCTAAAGCCTGCAAACCATATCTACCTCTACATTGTCATTATGTTAGCATTACCAAATTTTGGCAGCATAGTTTTTCAGTGGATTTGGCTGAAAATCTAACATGTATTTAAACAAAAAAAAGGGCTCAGGGATGGGAAGCTCTGCATTTTAAAAGATATTTCAAGATTATCCTCCCTGTCACACAGGATGACTCTCCTACTATTGTATCATGGCTTTCCATACCTTTGAATGCGACTACTGTTGCTAACGTGTTTATCCTTGTTCTAATCTGTTGAAGTCACATGGGCACACACACACACACACACTCCATTTTGGAAAATGGGTGAGGGGATGCTCAAAGACCCCCTAGCACAGTGTTTCTCAACCTTGACAATTTTAAGGCATGTGGACTTCAATTCCCAGAATTCCACAGCCAGCATTGCTGGCTGTGGAATTCTGGGAGTTGAAGTCCACATGCCTTAAAATTGTCAAGGTTGAGAAACACTGCCCTAGCAGTTGTTCATTTCTCCTTAGAAAGTCTGGCTTTCCTCTCTGATTTTGGAGGCCTGGAGGTAGATTATCTGACATTGTACCTTTTATTTGTGATCCTTTGTTTCCAACTACTGCCCGATTCAATTGCTTCTCATCAAATTTCTCACCCCTTTTTATTTTCCAGGAATTGGGCCAGTTCTGGGTCTGGTGTTTGTACCACTACTTGGTTCTGCCAGTGACCATTGGCATAGTAGCTACGGTCGACGAAGGCCTTTCATCTGGGTGCTCTGTCTAGGGGTTTTCCTGAGCCTTCTCATCATTCCACATGCTCACCGTCTGGCCAGACTTGTTGCCTTGGATGCCCGTGCACTGGAGCTGGCTTTCCTTATCCTGGGGGTTGGCCTCCTTGACTTCTGTGGCCAGGTCTGCTTTACTCCCTTGGAAGCTCTTCTGTCTGACTTGTTCCAAGAACCTGACAGCTGCCGACAGGCCTTCTCTGTTTACTCTTTCATGGTTAGCCTGGGAGGCTGTGTTGGATACTTGCTCCCAGCTATTGATTGGGACAGTAGCTTCCTTGCTCCTTATTTAGGGGGTCAGGAGGAATGCCTCTTCAGCCTCCTCACCATCATCTTCCTTGGCTGTGTCGTAGCAACTATCTTTGTGACAGAGGAGGTGTCAGCTCAAGTAGAGTTCAGCTCAGGCCCTACAGGAAAGTCTTCTTCCAAGTCCCCATCATTTGCCTGCTGTTCTTTCTGGCTTCCAAATAACTTTTTGAGGACCAGGCATCTGGTTCAGGCCTTTAGGAATCTTTGTGCCTTGATCCCACGCCTACATGGAGTGTGCTGTCGTATTCCCAAGGTAATCCGAAAACTTTTTGTGGCGGAATTCTGCAGCTGGATGGCCCTCATGACATTCATGTTGTTCTACACAGACTTTGTTGGGGAAGGATTATATCAAGGCATTCCCAGGGCTGAACCTGGGACGGAGGCCAGGAGAAACTATGATGAAGGTATGAAGTGTATGAGAGTTCTTTTGCTTATGCCTTTAAAGCAGATTTCAGAACTGAAAGTTTTTAAAATTATGTAATTAGAAAATTAATTTTCATTAAAAAGTTTGATAATTGATGCAATTAGAGCAGACTTATTTAAAGCTGCCTTTGCCATCTGTTATAAATTTTTCCTTCTCCTTGAACCTGGACTTCTTTGAGAAACAGCAAGAAACTCATTCCTATTCACGCACATAACATTAACCTATACTTTATTCTTTTATGGAAATGCATCCCCTCGTTGCTAAAGTAGTTAATATCTGACTTTTCTGATTCATTGGTTAATGTATGATGGCCTGTGAGCAAAATACTTTTGTTAATTAAGTTTGTAAAATATTCTCTTATATATTTGTCCTGCACTAAATCAAATGTTGCAAAAGGATAAAATCTGTACTTGACCTGTTCTCTCATTTCTTTATTAACGTGAAAAGCTACCCAGATGGTAGCTTTTCTTGAGTGTCTCCTCTTAAAGGCATTTGATCTCCGGCTTGCCTTTTGTTCCAATATAGCATATTGTTCCAAGGTCTGGGTGACCCTGTTTCATTTTAACTAATGTTTAACGTTTATTAATGAAGTGTACACAATGTGTTCAGTAATTGGCTCATCTTGGATCTGTGACCCATGTATAATTATCTTTTAGAGATGCATGAAGAAAAGTTTACAAGAAACTGAAGTGTGGCACTGATTTAAACATCAGTTTCAATATAAATGAAATGTGAGCATTATTTGTCATTTGCAGGTACAAGCTAACATCTTGGCCACAGTTAACTGCTCAAATTAACAGCTAGGCAAAGTTCTGAAAATGTTTAAGGCTGAACTATATTTGAGTATTATGTTACTCTGTGCAAGACACCTGAGGACAGATTTGACTTCTGAAATATCAAATATTAATACTTTTAATGCTTTCCTCCTATTCATTTTTAAATTTCATAAACTTAATTACAACAGATAGATCATTGTGGTCCAGATGACTAACGATAGTTGGCTTTATGAAATTTGAAATTTTTCTAGCTAACCTTCTCATCTTCTCTATTTCACTGTATATATCTTTCTTCTCAGGAATTCGGATGGGTAGCCTGGGCCTCTTTCTCCAGTGTATCATCTCTCTTTTCTTCTCTACAATCATGGATCGGATAGTGAAACACTTTGGGACACGAATGGTCTACTTAGCCAGCGTGGCTTTATTTCCATTGACAGCCTTCATCATGTGCTTCTCTCAAAGTGTGGTCATTGTCACTATTTCTGCTGCCTTGACTGGCTTCCCTTTCTCAGTGCTTCAGATCCTTCCATACACACTTGCCTCACTTTATCATCATGAAAAACAGGTAGGAGAAACATCCTGAAATGGCTCAGAGCATGAAATAAATGGATATAATTTTAATACGAAGTTTGGCACATGTACATCTTTTTCCCATAGCTCTCTTGTATGAAAGCAGAAAGTAGCACATATCAGAAGCAGCACTGATGTATTTTTTTAACCTCAACGAATATATTCAGTGCACATAAGAATGGTGTCAACTTTAGAATGAGCATGTTCTTTGAGGAATTTGAAAGCCTCGGCATTCTGCTTTATTTGACAAATGGTTCCAGAGAATTCTTAGGTAATTTTTCAGATGAATTCATATGTCATCTTCCAGATGTGATTCACCTATCATTCTGTTAAGGCAGTGGTTCTCAACCTGTGGGTCGGGACCCCATTTGGGGTCGATTGACCATTTCACGGGGGTCGCCAAGCAAGGCTGTCCGCCATTTTTTTTGTCCGTCATTTTTTTTGTCTGTCATTTTTTCCCCCTTTTCCGGCAGGTGCCTTACCTCCCTTGGGCTGGGCCAGCTGGTGGTCGGCCTGCTCCGTCTCTGCCACTTGCCAGCTACGCCTCGGCCGGCGCAGGGGGCGGAACCACGCATGCGCGGTGCTCCTGGGCAGGGAAAGTCCTCGACTTATGACCGGTTGGGTAGTCCTCGACTTACGACCGGTTTAGTCCTCGACTTACGACCGGTTGGGGTCGCGGCATTAAAAAGGTTGAGAACCACTGTGTTAAGGAAAAGGCAGAATGGTTGCGTAATAATTTGATTGCTAATATTCTCAACCATTCAGCTGAAGGCAACCAAAGACTAAATTTGCTTAGTGTATTAAAGATTCAGTCAGCAGTACCTCAATTGATTCCTGCTTTATTGATTCTTGCCCATTGTTATGTAAAGCTATTGACTATATAAAGTACTGCAGTATCTTGACTTGGTCTCCTATTTTCCACATATATAGACATTTTAATAAGCAATAGTTATTCATAGACTTGGTATCTTAGACATATATCTTAAAACCTATATTGCAGAGCAAAGAAATTAGGAAAAGGTGAATAATTTCAACTAAACTAAGAGAAAATTACCATCAGAAATTCTGATATTACAAACTCCCAGATTTTCTAGAGGTTCTGTAGTTTAAAATTCCAGTAATTGCTTTTTTAGATGTGTAACTATCAGTACCATAATCAATAAGTCTGGGACACTTGATGCAAATTCCCAAGTTGTAAGGGCTTCACCACCATTAGCCTTGACAATAGTCATGCAGTATAACTTCATACTAGCCAGTGCATTTATGTATTGGGTGGGATTCCTGGATTTCCTTGACCAGGATTTGTATGGCCTGGAGATCTAGATTTTTAAAGCAATAAGTCAATTATATGGAAGTAACAAAGAGGGATATTCAGTTGATCCTTATTTAAAGTGTTTACTCAAATGAAGTCTCTTGACCGTCATACCGACGGGACTAGTTTGGGAATTTATTTATGTATTGAAGATAACAATTTTATAAGTTTTTACAGTGATACAATGAACCAAAACGGTCAAAACGTTGGGTTACTCCTATATAGGTTTCGTCGACAAGGGACAATAGATTGACGTGTTAACGGTTCACTAATGACATAGAAGAAACATCTGGTTTGTAGGGTGATACAGTTCTACCTAAGCCTCCTCTTTTTTTCTTTGCCTTTTGTCAATCCTTTATGTCTGCTTCCTCTATCTTTTTGCTTCTTTCTTCTGAAGTGATTTCTTCATAACAGCTGCCATTCCAGTGTTGTGAGAGCCAGCAAGACTAACTCTGTCTGAAGCTTCCAGTGCAGAAGCCGTGTAAGTCGGTTGCATTTCATGCATGCCCTTGAATCGTACTGTCCTTATAGGACTATCATCTTTCTGGAATCAATTCCTGACTGTTCTGTGTTGGCTAAAGCACTTTGACCAGGTTGACATTATATAAACTTAAATGGTAAATAAACGTATCAACTTAAGTGGTAACTAAATAGTAAATAATACCAAGCTGCTTTGAGCTCTTATTTAAATGAATCCTCAAATTCATGTGAAATAGCTTGAATGACATTTTTAATTTCTAGAAAACAGCTATCTTTGTTTCTTCTGTTGATCTATATTTAAAAGCTTTCATCCTCACTTTTCTCTGCTCCAGCTAATCATATATTTCATATCGTATTCTGTGGTTCCTATGTTTTTGCTGAATTGTCTTCTAACATCATATCATCTTTTATTTTCTTATGCTTTCAGATATATTTGCCTAAGTACAAACGTAAAGAGAATGCAGCTCAATCAGAAAAGAAGCTGAGTTTCCTCAAAACCCACATTTCTACTGAGAAACTGACCTACCAGAATGGACATGGTGGTAGCCTGTACTCTCCCCCTGTTGCTGGCTCTTCTCTCTGTGTCAGCTCACCCTGTGAGGTCTCGCTCATAATGATGGTGGGAGATTCAGATACTGCAGCTGCAAGCCGAGGCATCTGCTCAGACCTGGCCATCTTGGACAGTGCTTTTCTTCTTTCCCAGGTTATCCCATCCCTTCTTATGGGTTCACTGGTTCAGTTCACACAGTCAGTCACCACTTATATGGCGTCTGCTACTGGCTTTGGGTTGGTAGCCATTTACTTTGCAACCAAAGTTATTTTTGACAAAAGTGATATGGCCAAGTATTCACTGTAGAAGGAGAAAAAATAGAGGGAAAAATTAATGTGTATTAAAGACATAATAGAGAAGAGTCAGGAGTGCAAATTTAGCCCCTTTCTACGTCTCTGGTTGTTTAATGAGATGTACAAAATATTTGACTGAAGGAAAATAACTGGGTTGATCTCAGGGTTTCTTAACAAAAAGTGTAGTATTGAGCTGCCTCTTTTTACCCAATGCCTTCAGTAAAAATCTGTGCCCCATCCTTTCGAAGTCCGAATATTCTCGGTAAGATTGTCCTACGATGATACTAGTAAAGGAATTTAACACGCCCACCTTCTACTGTATCACGTCTTCCCTGGTTTCTATCGAGTCTCTACGTTACTTGGAGTGAAGAATCAATGAAAGACATAACTTTACAACAACCAGTCGAAAGCATAACTCAATGTTCAGGAGTGTTGAACGACACTTCCAGAAATTAAATGGAAGAATGTGATATGATATATTAATGTTTTTGAAAATATGTCAGAATACTACACTCCCTTCATTTTTCTGGATATGCTGCAGAGTCTAGGTGGTATAAATAATCTGAGCAGAGCTACATAGAAGGGAGTTTGTTTAAGAGAAGATGCTGTGGTTACACTGGCAGCAACTCTGCCACTGCATGAAGGAAATGAAACCTTAGTTGTCAGCTGATCCTTTTCCCCACATCTGCCCAAAACAGAGCTTGCAGTTAGTGTAAATAGAAAAGCTTGCATAAAGAGGCTGAAGAACATGCCTCTCTGGGGACTTGCCTTTAAGTGATTAACTGGCCCAAACAAACTACAGTGCCTTCTACTGTGTGCAATCCTGAAAAGAAGGCTTAGAGTAAAAACATTTGGGTGTAGGCTGCTATTTCAGCTAAGGAGATGTGTGGTCATTTAAATTTCTGTGGAAGGACTGCATAGAAAAGGAACTGTGTTCTTACGTATCACAAGGCAGGCGCCAACTGAGTTTTCCACTGTGTAATGATCCATTCTTTCTGCCACCCAGGTAGAGCATAGGAATTTCTTGGGCTAGAAAAGTATTGTAAGCCAAACTGCCCTTTTTAAAATACACATACACACACTCACACACCACACCCCAACTGTTTTTAATAAGCCATTTAGCTGGCATTGATTCAATCAGCTAGCAAGCAGGGCAGTTTTTCCTGGCCAGGATTTACACATATCGAGTACAAGAGCTCAGGATGTATAGAACAATGTGGCCATAAGGTCAAGATCAAGTCTTTCTCCAAGGTAGGATCCTCTTTCCAAGGGTTGCACCAATTAACATTGAAAAGACTGTATTTGTAATTAGAACAATTGGTTGATTAGATCTGACAGTAATATTAAGTAAACAGGGATTGCTGGAAGCTTTAGGATTATAGAATTTGGGATGGGAAAGAGGACTGTCTTCTATATTCTCAAAAAAAAAAAAAATAGTGTCACCAAAGCTGCAATTTGTATTTCAAGAGAGGCTTCCATTGATGATCTTTTCTTGGAATGTAGATAACCACTAAGATGAGATGACCTTTTGAGGTTGAGAGAGTATAAGAAAGATGGATGTTTCATATTGTATCTGTTTGATATAAATCTCAGTTGGTCATTTCTAACCTGACCTGTTTTGCATTTTGAACTATGAGATAACTGTTGAGACAATCATGTGGTCCTTGAAGCCTATGCCCATGGGTTAGCTTTAGTGTGCTGCAGTCTTGCAAAATATCACAATGTAAACCAAATTGCAGTATGTCACAAGAACCCATTAAGAAATTGCTAGATGAATTTGAGCCGAAGACCCCTGTAGGAAAAATATTTTTATTCAGATGGATGAATCATGCAATTGTTAAATGCCTTAGGCAATTTTAACTAGTGCAGATTCTTAGCTTAAAGAAACCAGTCTGTTAAATCCTGTGAAAGACGACATTTATCCACAAAATCTCCTACTACAGACTCATGCAATTTAATCTTCTAAGTGGAAGGAATAAAGTGTTAAAACAAAAATAAGGGCAAAATGCTGGAGGAGGAAATAAAGGATCAGAGAGCTGCCTGTCGGAATTGGAACAGGGGAAGATGTAAATTGAAGAGGAAAAAGCAAAAAACAAAACTGAATACATTGCTATTACTTTGGCTTTACCCAATCTGATATTCTTCACATGTGTTGGATTATAACTCAGCAAGATTACAGGTGATTGGGGCTACAGTCCTAACATGTGTTTTCTTCCGATGCCATAACTACAGGGCTGTTGAGAAACCACATTTGATATTAGATCCTAACATGGTTTCATGCTTTAAATAGTGGCACATGTTGTATTAGTCATCAATGTCACCCATGTGATCAAACAAGAAACATTTGTATATTATACGATGGTCCTTCCATAATGTTAACTCACAAATTAGCAAATAGATGTGTGCTTCAGCACAGCTTATGATTCCATGAAGCAATGGGATTATTTTCCAGCAAGAACATGCAAACTACAGCCTTCCAAAAAGAGGTACTTCAGTCTTTCTTGACCTGACATCTTTCAGAAGTTTTGCAATGGCAAAAATTCTAAGCAATTTCATCCTATCTTGTCTAAATAATGTGAAAAACTCATTCGTAGATAGAAAGTGTCACTATCCTGATTCTGATCTGAGTAGACACTAATAGACTTTTTTTTCAGAGTAGTGAATCTAGTGATTGGTATTAAAGATTATGCCCATTTTCATTGAAACTTTTATTCTTGTAAAGTCATCCAGGTGCCCACATTCCTGTCTTGGTAGGAATGACCTTGGTTTATTAGTTACCTTGCACTGGGTTCTTTAATTCTTTGTAGCCTAAGAGCACTATTGGACCAATTAAGAGAAGCTATAAAAGGGAGTAATAAATTCCCATTAGAGAAAGTAATAACATAGGTCTTTTTCCCTACGAAAGTTTAGTTAAAGGAGCCAGGAGAGCTTGCAAAGTCTCAGTAGAATTTTGCTTGTTCACAAGGTTCAGGGTCATTTGATAACTACAATTCCATTTTATTGCTGCAAATCAGATCTGGAATAAAAAAACAAAAAGAGAGTCACCTTAGAAACACAATGAATCTGACAAATCGTCTGAATTCAGGAGAAAAAAAGAAAGAGAAAAGGACTTATGTGGAAATAGCCCAGGTTTTGTTTTTTTCCAAGGAAAATAGTTCCAGAAAATTTTAGTCATCTTCAAATCAGTTACACCAGTCTTTATATTATGAGAGCCCACACTGTAGCCCTGGATCCTCTGTGCCAAAAATGAGGGGCATTAGTTGTTCCTAGGATCCTTCTTGGATCCTAGATCTAGAAAGCCAGTAATCTGGCCAATCCCCAGTGGTTTCTTCTTCTTCCCCATACCATGCAGCAAAAGATCAGCAAAACTTTTACCTTTTATCAGCAAAACCTCTGCTTCAAAATATGGTACTCACTAGATCCTGCAGTGGTAAGCAATTTCATGTACTAAATACATATAATCAGTTTTAGAGTCAATCATGCTATTATCGGGGATGATGGTGTCTTTTAATATGGATCTCTGAAAGTGATATGCCAATTGAGTTTTTACCTCTGCTATAGGCTCCTTGCAGTCTTTTCCACTCAGGCTAGATTCTCATGCTTGGCTTAGCTTGATAAATCAAGATTGGGAGGGAGAGAGAATATAGAAGTACACACAATTGAGGTAAGTTGACATATGAACTAGCTGAGTGGCTGAAAAGGTATTGGCAGAGATGCCTACACAAAAGAGCTTGACAAACCATCCAATTCATCTTCATACCAATCCTTAAAAATATAAATTGGGTTCATTAATTCCATTTAGTCATTGGTGGTTTGATCGTAATGTATTGGATAAGCCCCAAGCAGCTGGGTTCATAGAAACAATAGCTATAAACTATGAGCTAACTATTTCCATTACTAAGCTAATAAAATATACCAAAACAAAATCTAAGTGTAACCACATTATAGTTTAAACATCAGCATCAGTCCATTTTTGTTTTTGCATTTTGAATAATTTATCCAGGGATATCAACTAGTGGAATGGGCTGGACAAACAGTTGTGGGATTTGTAACAAATTGTGACCATCTTGCCTTTCTTATGATTAAATTTGTTTCATTGCATTATGTGGCACAATGCTGTCCAGTTGGAATTATGAAATAAATCTGGTACGATTGTTCTTGCTAACATGTGGAGGATTAACATGGAATGAAAAGATAAATTCATGAGCCATATCCAAAATCCATATATATCAGTAATCAACCTGGTTTAAATCAATATGATTATTAGAAATGTTCCTTTTATACTTGAGACGTGCTAACAGATAATCCACTGGATAATGGATTCACACACTTCCATTATTGTTGTGTGCCCATTATTGGTAGGTCCATAATACATATTATTCACAAATTTTCTTTGATTGTGTTGAAACTCTGTTATAGTGGTGATTGTGGGGCAGCAAGATGGACAATAATGACACAGGCATGATGATGGAATCACACAAAACCTGCAACTTATGCATTTGTGTCATTGTATGTATCCATAATGTTTGCATGATTTCATCTTCACATATGAATTGTCACTTTGGCAGCACATCAGCTTTGGATGTTAATTATTTGTTAATGGTATTCATCTTTATCTTTCTTACACAGCTTTATTTAAAGGGAATTTTCTGAATCAAGTTTTGGCCAGTGATTAAATGGTTTCTTGTGCTATGTCTTCCCCGCATTAAAAAACTGTATGGAATTTGTATGTTTATTTATTTATGGAAATAAATATTTTGTACAGTTTGTGCAGGAGATATTAAAGTCTATTAAGGAATGGAAATGTTTAAATGGCCTTAATTTAATACAGTAAGAACTTTTGGGTTTAGAGCCAAATACCACGTTATTTATTTTTTCTATGTTGAATTGAAAGAATGAATAACACCTGAAATGGGAAAGTAAGTCAGAGCCATTCACAGACTGTAAGAGGGTATATATTTATGGGGCTAGATCATTGTGATTTGTTTCTGAAAATGGGTAATTTCAACAGAAAAATTCAAACAAAGCTGAAGCACACTTGGTCACAAAGTTTGAATAGCTCACTTTTCAAGACATGGAATTTTCCATATTACAATAACTTGTAAATCTGAATAATACATTTAAACAAAATACAAG